CATGTAGTGCCTGCGTACATCCACGATTAGTTATGAGCTGAAATGTGATGGTAAGATAGTAAGCGAAGGTAAAATGAATGTTGTAGATCAGGAGCAACCCATTTCCACCAAGAACCAGCTCCATTCAGGATTTCAGTCAAAAATAAATTCTTATTAGGGAATTAACCTGCCTCCTACGTGAACTGTCCATAGCTGAATAGGGTCGGCCTACGCTAATGTATTTTAAGGTCGGTCATAATTGTGGTACTAATATTTTCTGAAGGTGGTACGTGGTGTAAAAAGTTAGAGAAACACTGCTGTAGATAATGTTGTCCAGCTCTTACTTGTATATAATCGTTATATGTTTATGTTTGCATATATTTGTTTAGCTAGTACGTGTGTGTCTGTAAATGTATCTTGTAAGTGAGTAAATGAACCACTTTGGGAACTTTTGAATACCCTTTAACCATAATATTTCATATTAAATGGAATTTAATCATTAATTGAATTACCGAAAGGTGGAGGTGACTGATACCTCAGTCGCGTACATGATCATTTCATTTTTGAAGCCAGTGTTTTAACCTTTCAAAGCTCTTGCCATTTATATTTCAGCTATAAGAGATCACCTGACTCCGACTGGGTAAACCAGGAAACATCCAGAGGACACAGCACTGGTTTGTCTCCAAACCTCCTCTCTCTTGCTCTGCAGTTTGCTGCCGCTGAGCTCCGCCTGTGGGCACAATAGATTTGACACAAGAGTGCTGATGAATCTCATCAGTTTAATGTGTTTATGCTTGCTAAGCCCTAAAAGCTTATTGCTGTTCAATGGAGTGCTACAAAGTTACCTAATTTCCCCCCTGGTTGTCTCTCAGCACGCTGGCAACACAGACTCCCAATAACACGATGTACTCTGCAACCTGTGGAAGACAGAAGGCACGCTGTGTCTCAATGATTTGTGTTATCGGGCAGAGAATAGACCTTGACAGAAATACAGTGAGCGCAGATATTACTGTTTTTTCCACCTTAAATTCAGCCCATGACTGTCTCTCTCCCTCCACATTGATCCCTTTTTACAGCCTTTTCACAGTAAGTGCTTTAGTCTTATCTTCGCTGCCCCCACCTCGCCTGTCTCATATTCTAACCAATGAGGCTGGCTGCCTATATGACAGCTAACACCCAGTATTAATTAAAATGTCATGCCTCCAAATCAATATTGTAAAACAGTTCAAACACAACTCATCGCCACTGCTGTGATAAGTGCTTTTGGGTGACAGGTAAGTCCAAAGAAAGAGATGCGGGAGAATGGTATGACGGAATAATCCAGAGAGAACATGTAACATTAAAATGTATGACCCCCCCCTATGTGTTACTTCATCACTCACAATTGCAAATTATCCACACTGTCACGAAGTGTGCCGCGCTAAACTGACAGATCCATAAGTCAGCAGCAACAGGCCAGGAGGCTCGACGCGAGAACTCTTTAGCTTCAGACGTCTGACTGCACTGCGTTAAAAGAGACTAATGCACACTCATTTGGGAAGGAGGCTGTCAGAGGGGGGATTTATCAGCGCTACTGAAATAGCTGCAATCCATCTGATTAGGTTCATGTGTTTAACGCTGCTCTGTTAGGACAAAAATACAGAAAAAAAGGAGGCAGGTTATTACCACTATTTTCAGCCCACAAGGTGAAGGCTTTTACCACAAAAAAGTTTCCATGAATAAAAGTCAATAACACGGAGAACTACTTGCGTTTCTTCTTCTTCTTTTTTTTTTTTTTTTTTTGCAATATTCCAACCATTATGAGTGACAAATAGGGTTGATTCAAAAACTTTGCGAGGCCATACGTGCTCACACATACTCATTGAAAGACATTGTTCAAAAGCAATGCTCGGGATATGGATAGAATGTGACAAATTCTGTCAGAGTAAATATGGTTTAATAAATGAATTAGCTTCATAAATAATGGCTGTAATGACATTTTAGGGGACAATAAGCCTAAGCGTTGTCAGGAAATAGTTGATGTATGAGTTTCATGCCTCAGCGGTTCCTCAAAATGAATAGGCTTGGGAAGATAGCAGGGGCCTGCAACCAGCCTATTTCCTCGAATTATCTACTTGTTGTCAATTTGCACAGTGGAATTACACATGCAAATTGAACTGCCTGCACAAACACCACTTGGAGATGATAAAAACAAATTAACAAAGGCTATAGAAGGAGGATTTATTTCACTGGCTAACCCAGGTCAAGCAATACATGTATTTTACAATTGTGTGTACCCAATTTTGGTGTAATTATATCAGCAAATTATTCTTTGTAATCTTATTATTTTCTCCCCAACCTTCTCCTTACACACATAATTAACTTCCTGCGTATCCTCGTGAAAAAAAAAAAGAAGAAAAATCAAGCTCGCCTCTGCATCAGAGTTAACAAAGCTTAATCTGATTTAGGGTTCATTCTCGTCACCTTTTACTGCAGCTGGGATCCAGAGGAAAGGTGAGAGGTCAACAGTTTAGTGACACTGTTTAGTGTAAGCGCTTTGGTAAAGGAGCAGACGAAGCTACATAGTGGAAGTCAAAGTGTTAAAATATATATATAATCACCCCTTCACATCATCCCTCATATTGGGGAAGGAAATTAAGAGTCCCCGGACCTCCACGTTTGCTATTAGATATCTCATTTACTTTGTACACACAGTGCTAATCTGCACTAATGAATTCTGCCACACCAAGCCAGATCGAGATGACTTAAAATTATTACCACTTGCACAGATATGCCTTTTCCTCATTTGAGGCTCAATTTGGCTGGCTCGCAAAAAACAGTCTGTCACAGTAAGATACTAATAATTAGGGTTTTAAGATGATTAGTTTATCTCTGTGCTCTTACAGTCCTGCCTCTTATCCACCATGGCCAAAAACTTAATAAGAGGCTCTAAGTTTTAAACAGCCAACTCCAAATTACCAAGAAATGATGGAAATAATGAACTGGAGCACATGCCAGGGAGAGAGAGACACACACAGAGAGAGAGGGTGGATGGTGGGAAAGCTGAGAGACATTAATTCAAGTGTGAAATAGAACACAAAGTCTAGTAATCAATAAGGAAATGATTCAGACCTGTAATGCCAAAAAATTGTTTAGTATTAACAGCGGCTTTGTAACTCTCATTTTACCTTCAGACGCCAGCCGTGCTCATCAACTTGTCACGCAAGTAATTAAAAAGTCACGATTAATGCTGAGTGAGTGATACCAGTTAATGGTTGCATGTTTTAGAGATTTTTTTACATGATGACATTCAATATGGCATAAGCCCAATCTGCTCACTTTAATATGCACTGCGGTTTGAAAAGATGAACTGCGTAAAGCTCTTATCTCAGGGTACGGGAAGGTCAAGGAGAGTGCAAGGTCTCCAGGTTTTTTTATTTCATTTGGGCCTCAAGACGACTGAACCTCAATACTTTTTTGTTAGTGACAAAAATGTGTCAAAAGGCGTTGAACGTCTTATTTTCTTATTCTTTAATCAGACCGTTTCTGATTTTAAGGCTGTAACTTATTATTATTCATTAATAAGTATAAGTTCCCAGTTAGGCATAGGATGAAAGGAAAATTTCATGTCACAATTAAAATAATTGCGATACAATAATCATGAAAATATACTTCATACTTTTAAAATGTTACTAAAACGTACTGGAATCACTTTACATTACATTTAGTTAAGAAACACATATATTTATCTATCACAGGTAGTCTAAAGTACTTATACACGTCTGGTTTAACCTTTTTTTGTGGTGGATACAACAGGCAAGCTTTCATTTATGTTGACAGGCTTAATATTTTGGAGTAACTGGAACGACGCAGGCTCAAATTAAATCAGGAAATCAATACAGGACTGTATGCTGGAGAGCTAGACAGCTTTTTCAAGTCAAACCATGCGAGGATATTCACGATCAAGGAAATTCACCACAATGAATTCATCCAAAGGTTTTCTATCACGATAATAATATCGTATATCGTCCTATCCTGGGTTCCCAGAGTCCAAAATGATGTCTTCAAATATCTAAATATTCTTTTATTTACAAAGAAAGCTGACATGAATGATCAACTATTAACATTTTTAGTTTCCTGTCCGGTTTAATCTGTGTAATCTACTTCAAATCCTAACTTTAGACTGTATTTTATTGAGGAAAACTTGTTGTACAGCTGTGTAACAGTTCAGAAGTTTGTTGAATGAATAGTATAAAGTTTTTAGTAAGTAAATCAGGTTAAACTCCCAGTCTTATAACACTGAACCTGGTTTACCTGAAACCCTTTTCCCTTCCAGATACACCGTCCACCATACTGACCTTCCTATATATACATTGGTGTTATAGGTCTCACTCTTTATTCCACATTTATATGGCACACAAAATGCAAGGCTATAATTTATGTAGATTATTGGCTTTGCAATAAGATGCAACCAAAAGAAAGCCTAATGTGAATGAGTGTGAAAGAGCAATTTAAGGGTAGATGTGCCTGTGCCAGTGCCAGGGGCTATACAAGATTTGCATGCTAATCATTCTAATAATAATGTAATGCCCAAAGCACTTTGAGCAAATTGCGAACCATTGGTCATAGAAGGAAGCTTATCTCACCGAGAACATGACACAAATATAAGTTAACATTTGAATGATTCCTGGTAATTCACGGACCTGTCAGGAGCCTGGCTCACCTCAATTAGAAATGCCCCCACACCGGCTTGCTCTTGACTTTACTTTACTGCTGAGACTATCTTAGACTGCTTTAACTCCTTAAATGTGTCCACTTTGAGCCGTAAATGTCGCCAGATCCGGTAAGTTTACGCCATGAAACAGCTCCGTTAGCCATTAAAAAGCCTAATTAAACCGTTACCCGTTAACCGTTAGTGCCGCCAAACCGACCAATGAGAGCCCTTGTCTCGTCCTCGTGCTCCACTGCTCAGTCTTTGTAAGGAGAGCGCTGATTGGATCATGCGACGAACGTTGCAAGCTAATCAGCCAATCGGGGCTTTTTCCTTACGGGATACGTCACAGTGTTTACCCGGAAATGAGAGCTCCTTCCAACAAACTGCTGTCAACATCTACAATTTACAGACTTCTGTCCGGTTTTGGTGAAGTGAAATTAAACCTTACCGCTTAATCTGACTGTAAACTACTGAGTCGGCATGTACAGCGGACTCCTGCCCAAAGGTTTAACTGAGGACGACCTCAGTCCAAATGACGAAGAGGACGAGCAGGAGGACGGTGTTGAGGAGAGGAGGGAGGGTGAGAAGTTGAGCTCTGTCGGGGAAAACACACAGTCGACTAACGCTGCCAGTGATGCAGACAGTGACTCCCCGACCTGCGGTATTCCTGGTATATCCCAGGAAATGTGGCAGGTATGTTGATCTGTGAGCTAAACTTCACAGCATTCATCCTGTGAAATACCAGCCAGCTGTAGAGGACCTGTCGTCTGTAAGGACTGTGTGTGTGTGTATCATGTAACATAATCTGTGAGCAGCAGAGGGAGATCAGTGGTTGTGGTGTGAATTCAACTTGTGTGTTTGTGTTTGTGTTTTAAGAAATTCCAGGATCTACGCCAGAAGAAAGACGAAATGAAGACCGTGAAGATCCCCAGAAAAAGAAAAAGAAGACGGCACAAGAAAGGTGTCAGTGATGAGACAATGAAAAGTTAACGCTTTGCCAGTGTACTGTGTGGTGATGTTGAGCCGTAATGGCTGCTTATGTTTGTGTGCATTTCGCTAGTCCGGTGGGCGAAGGTATTCAAATCAGTCTTCATGACAAAAGGAGAGGAAAAGGAAAACTCAAAGCCTGATAGGGCTGCACAATTAATTCAATATGATCAAAAATGCAATTTGGCAAAGTGCAAGACGCTGAAATTGTTTGATAAAAGGTCAAATGTGTGACAAAACAGCATTATAATGAAGTATTATAGTGAAAAGATGCCCTGGCCTCCTCCAGATTTAAGAAAACATGTTTGTTTGGTACAGACCCCAAAAGACTAGCAGGTGCTAATTGATATCAAAGAGTCCCACAAACCTTTAACTGTGTCTCTTATGTTATTCAGCAGGAACAGAAAGTGAGGAACCCACACAGACAAGGTACCAAATTATAATGTTAATTAGTAAATGGGTTTACACAACAACAATATTCATATAATTCTTCCCATGCAACTGTGACAAATGTGTGCAATCCCAAAATAAAAAGCTTGTGAATGCAGCCAACTCTCAAATCTCCCATGTCAGACCTTCACACTAGCTGGATTTCCAGTGGCACTAACTATCTATCAGACAGTGGCTGCCTGTAAAGTAAAAACATATGGTATGCTTTAGAAAATGGCAGCCAGTTCTGAGCATCAACCAGTGTAGCAGCAGGAAGTATGATGACTGTGCCAACATTATACTTTTTTTTTCCCTCTGTCCTATGATGTTACCATGTTGTGTGATACACATTCATCCCGACATTTGGATCAGTGATTGAAACAGACTCCAGTTGTCGGGTGGATGATGATAGTTTGCCTTTTATCACAGTGCTGGTTTACATGTAATGAACATTAACACACGTTTTCTGTGTCAGCAGAGAGCATCAGGAGGAGCGAGAGAAGCACTGGGATGAGCTTAAGCAGTATTTTGGTGTAAATGATCGATTTCATCCCCCTGCATGTTCCAAACCCCCTCCGAAGGTAACAAAGACCTCTGCCTTCCAACTTATCTGCTGAGGTTTAATACTGTGTCAGTCGTAGCTGTTAGTAACACCTTCCCAGCCTTTGTGTTTCCGTGTCACTGTATCCACTCATTGTTTTATGTGATATGACATATGGATTAGAGGAATCTCTTACGGTAACTCAACCTGACACTGAGATGAATATTAAGGATTATGTTTGGCTACATTTAGTGATAAGATTAGGATGAATCTCCTTTCTTGTGCGGTTGAGATTAAAGTCAGATGTAGGTTTCTCAAGAAATGAAAATCTGAATTTTGCTTGACAAAAGAAGAGAGGGTTAGAGTACCTGATACAGCCTCTGTGATTGCAGCTGGAACATTTAAACTAATGGTTAGATAATAAATGTGCATGCACCACTGCTGTGGAATTTATCATTGAAGAAATTGTAACTTAACTTTCTTTCATTTGCGTACATGTCTGCACTTAAAGATGAATGAACATTTTATGCAAAGGCTTGCAAATTGCCAGTGAAGCAAAATATTTGCAAGCTTGATGAACATTATAGCTGACCCAGTGAATGGGAACTGTTCCCATTTCAATTTGAAATCCTTATAATGATTATTTGGGAGTATTTTGTGCTTAATTTATCTCAGAGAAGCATAAAATTGAGTTTTTGCTGATTTTAGACCTCATTTTGAATAGGGCAACTATGAAAGGATAAAGGAAACGATTAACAAGCTGAATGAAACAGAACTTGTCACATCAACATAATGAGTGGCTCCTTCATCCCTCAAATGCAGTTCCTTGTAATTAATATATCATGTTTTTTTTATTTCTGCCAAGTCTTTCACACAGTAATTTGAAGAAAAAAAGCTGTCATAGCAGCCAGATGTGATTAATTCATCTGCTAACAGAATTCTCTTGAGTGACCTTAAAAACACATTTCATGGCACAAAGGATGATGGTCTGTCAGTTTGAGTTTTGTTTGTGAGATACAACAGACGATAATTGAGATCACAAGTCAGGTTGTATCAGTGTCAGCTTCAGTTTCTATGCAGAATAATAAACTATATAAAGCAAAATCAAGACCAAGCAGCTGGAGAAAATTGTTTTTAATAATTCTGCCTTATGGTATTGTCACTGTACTTTTACTATTGAGTCAAGGTCCTCGCACAATACATCAGAGGGGACACGTTAATAATTATAGCCTCTTTCCAGTGTATTTTTTTAGCATGATGAAATTTTGGGGGCTGAAGAAATCTGGTGCTCCGCTTCCTCAGATAGGCTCATCACAGCAGAACTGCCTTGCCATCAGTAACCGGGGGCTTCTCAGCACCCCCTCTGCTTAGGCCTGTAATGGAAATGTGTAATTAAAGAGTCACATTTATGTTTGGTAATCTCCTGTAGCATTTCTAAGATTTCCCCACTAATATCCAATCAAAAAGGTTTTCATTTGTGAAGGGAAATCTACATATTTGTAGTAATGGCAATCATATTAAAAATAAGGCCCTGGGGACTTTTGAAGTTACTCTTTGATTTTTTTTTTCTCTCTCTCTACCCCTATTTCAAAAAGAAAAAAAAAATCTGAATTTTTTTTCTCCCCCTCTTCTGCAGTCCGGCCTAGAAAAGAGCATAGAGAGGGCCATAGCTGAAGGGGACATTGCAAAGGCGGAGGAGATGAGCGACAGACTCGCCACTCGAGAGGTACGTTGTGCTGATAAGAGATCTTTGGGGTGCTCCTGCTGTGACAAATCAGGCTAATGGATCCGTGGCCATTTCTGCTGCAAAGACATAGAGGAACAAAAACACACGCAGACACCCACCATTCAGTCCTGCAGCTCTTTTCCATTGAGTTAATGGAAAGCCCTCCCCTTAGTTTTGAAGTGCTGCAGTGTCTAAAGGACTTTTGGCTCTGCTTTTTAATGAAGGGTACATTGCTTTCAAGCCAACTGTTAAATCATTCTCCAGGTAAGAGTTTCATACCTTTGAAGTGTACATGTCCCTAAATGCAGTGCCTGAAGTTTTGTAACTAACCGCCTTGGCAGGCATCAAGGATCAAGTGGTTTGAAACTAATTTAGCATAAAATGTAGCCCACACACACATATAATTGTGGTTAAAAAGACATACAGCTGCGGTGTTACTTCTCCACTGGGCGAATTGCTGTACTTTGAGCATCAAAGTTAAACTTCTTTGTTTCATGATGCATGTTGCTTACAGCATCCCATAAGCTTTTTCATCATGTACAGTAATGGTAGCAACACAAACATGTGTAGCACTGTGGGCTCAGATTTCATTGTCGGCCCTAGATTGCAATAGAGTTGCAAAGTAGGCGATGCTGCTGGTTCAGGAAATATTTTCCCCCGCTTTGAATTGCCATTTCAATGTTTTCTTTTAATGATATTCCCAGTGTTTCTCAACGTAGAAGCATGTGAGTCTTCTGTATAATGTACTGATCCTATAGGCTTATGTTATGCCACCAGATTTAATTAAACTTTGTTTCCAAGAAATCCTATTTTGCCTTTGTCAGTTTAGCATGGTGGACAGTACAATGCAATACCCATAAGCCTCTGTCACTGATGTTATAGAAAAAGAAGCCAGTCGTAGCAAAAATCGAAGTGGTTCGTTGTTGCAGTTGTGAATAAAACACGGTGCTACAGTTGCTGACTTTTTTCCAAAACTGACCCATCTAAAGGTGAATTCATTTCACTTTCTGGCAGAGAGTTAGAGAAGATCAATTCAGCTCTCATGCCTGTATGCTAAATATGAAGCTAGAGCCAGCAGCCAGTTAGCTTAGCTTAGCAGAAAGACTGAAAACAGGAGAAATAGAAAGCCTCGCTCCGCTGCCAAAAAACGAAATATAAAAACATCAGTTTGCTGTTTTAAAGTGGTTATGGGACAGACAGTGTGTTGATGGAGATCAGTAGATGTTTCTCGCTGAAATACACCGTTGGGAGTTGTAGTCAGCGTCTCTTCGCATGTTTATTTATGTCCACAGACTTGAACCTTTTGACCTTTTCATCAAAGAACCAGATATTTATGACTTTTGTGCCAGTGATTAATCCAGGTGGGTTTCATGCCCAAGCTGTAAAAGTGCTCAAGCTATCGGTCACATCTGTAACCAGTGACTCCAAAATAGCTTCTTCCACTTCACAACTCTAAAGAAAATCTGACCTGAAGACTAGATGTGTTACCCAAAAAGATGATATTCAGCAAGAAATGACACCACAATCTGTAAACAGGAGTACAGAATGTGTGTTTGCATGAAATAAGATTTTGCTGCTATTGAAAAACATTTATATTCTTAGAAAGTTCCTGGGAGACCTCAGCCTCTTGAATGAATAAGTAGGCACCAAAAACAAGGGTCTGTGTTTAAAAATGAAAAAAACTGTTGTACTATTCATTGAATTGGCATTACATGCATCACCCCGGTATCTCCAGTGTGTAATAGACATTAGTGTGCAGCATCAGAGCCCTTTCATATTCCCATCTTAACTGCTAGCAGAGTGGTCAAATATGGGGGAGTTAAATGAAAGCTCTTGTGAGTGGCACCTGCGCTGTACTTTCAGAAAGCCTCTTAGAGCGCTGGTGGATTGGTTTTAGCCTGAGCCGAGGTTCTCGCCTCCCTGGCACCTGCCTCGCGTCTTGCCAGAACCGTGATGGGACGTGACAGAAGTCTGGCAGCCACAACTCATTGTTTAGCACTGATAACTTAATTTCACGAGAGTACTGTATAGTCAATTGACCATTTTGAAATCCCCCAAAACCAAGGTGACGTAAAGTTCGTTCACTTTGGAATACAAAGAAAGGCGGTGCTGAGTATATGTAAATATGAAGGGGAAGTGGCAGCTAAAAACCAAAAAGTTTGACGGGTTCTGAATCAGTTAGAAAGGATTATATTATATCTTAAACGATGCAGCCTGTAATGCAGATAACATTAAGACCAACATGTTTGTTTACAGCACTCCTGTTCACTTTTGACAGGAGCACTGTGACAAACATTTAGAGGATCAATAATCCCCGCTGTGGCCAGAATCAATTTCAAGGTTATAATTGAGTGGCTCATTTGGTACGGAATGGCTTAGATGTTTAATTTGTTTATGGTCATAACACCAAGACATGATTGTGGCAGGCTTTTCACTGGAAGAATAGGAACAGGTTTTCTCCGCAAAAAATGCAAAAGCATTCTGACAGCTGTGAGGAACTAAAGAGGCCTGTTTGTCCCTCTAGGCATTGTTTTGTAAGGAAAATGCTGGTACATGTTGGTTGACAATGTTTCAGTATATTTTCATCCTCAATCTAACGGTTTCCCACTTATCGCCTCAAAGCAAGGAGAAATGGAAGGAAGATAGAGAGCTTGCTGTCAAAATCCCCCCTTTTATGAGACGGAAATGTTTGTTTCTGCTGTTTTGAGCTCCCTCAAATCAATTAATGATTTCCATTTGCTCTACTTTCTTCTTTTAATCTGAACATTAAAACAATTTGGCAAAAACCTGTTTTGAAGGCTCCTTACAAATTCTGAGATACGTATTCTTTCATCTGTCAAACTTCTGAGACACGCTGCTCGGATATTGCAGGTTGCGGTTTTTTATTCTCATAACAGTCTTTAAATATTTCCCAAGGCTGTAAGTCTTTGTTTTAAATGAATTCATGAAGACATGCTCCGTTTTTAAGTGAAAGTATTAACGCCCACGAAGATGGTGCAAAGAAATCACATCCCCTTTTAGGTAACAAAATATTATTTATGTCTACATTGTTTAGACAAAGCTCCCTAATGTATTCCTTTAAACTGTGCAGATAGGGTTTCTTTTCTCATAAAGATGTCTGTTGATCCTTCTCAGCATGTTGTGATTTCTTTTCACAAGGCTTATAAGACATAAAATAATATAAAAAGCTTTCTCGCCTCTAAAGTAGTCCTAGTAGATCAGTAGATTAAAAGGTGCAAGTCCTCCAATTAAGAAGACTAGGTCTCCATCCTTTGATTCCTGCACATTAGTTTACACTGCTGCAAGTTGCATATGGGATATTTAATTCAGTAATTAGCATAACGTGGAGTGACTGACACATAGTATAAACGGCTCACAGCATGTCAGCAGGCTTGATAGCATCCAGCAGCTCATATTTGACAGATTGATTTTGCAGCTATTCTTGGTAAATGAGCCAGTGCAAAAAGCTGATAACTCATTAGAACTATGAAGCGCGGTGGGGCTTCCTACGTCATCTGAAGTGTAGGGTGACCTACAGGAATATTTGTAATGTATTGGCTCCATTTGGTTTGGTTTTATCCTTTTAACAAACATATAACACACAAGTACATATCTCTTTCCTTAAAAAATGTTTTTAAAGCTATTTTCTAAAAACTGTAATAGATTCCAGGTTTCTCATTATCTCCTAAACTGTCCCAGACTTTTGGATTTAGATCCAAAAGAATATCTTTACATTTTGGCTAAATTTTACCTATTGCTGGTTGCTAGTATGCTCTTCAGTATGCTCTTGATAGTCTGGTGCCAAGCCATTTAGACATGTACACACAACTTGCTGTTAAATACAGAACCTTATTGGTAATCTTACCCAAATTTAGTAAAATGTGCCCAGTTTCAACAAACAGATTTTCAACTAACAAAGCCAAATCTTCAGTATACAGAAAACACTATACACACTATAATTTACATATATTAGGAAGTGTAAGGGTCCTAAGATTGATCCCTGTGGAACTCCACATGTGACCACTCCTACATCTGATCATGTTTATTCAGATCATACTGAATACGATTATTTAAGTATGATTTAAATCAACAAACTACGAAGTTATCACACCGAATTACATAAAATAAAATATTTTAGTAAATCAACAGACGTATTTTTAGTCTTTAGATCCATTTGAACCGTGTGATTTTCTGAACCCGGATTGGTTTTGCCAATAAAATGTGGTACTAAACATATAATTGGAGAGAGAATTTGAGAATTCATTCACCACTGTACCCTAAAGATGACTGCTACTGTACAGTACTTTGTGTCTCACTAATCCACCTTCTCATTGTAGTATTTCATACATCATCCTTACAACAAATAATTACTCCCTTGTTCTTTTTTCTCTTTGTAAAACAGAGCCACTGAGGTCTTTTGAAATAGTCAGGAGCTGTACTTTATATATAGTAAGTGGGTATATTTCACCACAAAAGACTGTCACGCCATGTTAGAGCTTACAGTTCCCCCATAGCACTCATCACAGCTATTAGAGTGGCATTACCACTTCAAAACAGAAACTCTTTTAGGCTGTTACAATAGGGGGTGTCAAGTCCATTTCATGACTTCCAGGAGCTAAAGAATAGGAAAAATAAAAAGTATTTGCATTGCTGCTGGCCTTTCCTGAACCAACTGGAAAGAAGAAGGCCCGCAAATGACACCACACACAAAGAAGGATATATGTAGAGACGAAGAATGAGCTGGTACGATGCAGGATCTATATACTTTATACATATCTGGGGCTGAACTATTCAGACAGTTTTATAATATAGGGATCACTGTCTTATTTAACTGGAGATGTAAACACTACAGATTGTCAACCATGCTACTACAATCCTTCACACAGGAATGGACCTTTATTCAGATTATTAGAAGTTGTTTTCATAGAACTCTTCATTCAGTGCTTGATTCACTGGCTGTAATCCTGTTTTATTCAGGTTCAGCTGTTTACACAGACAAT